TTCTTTTTTGTTTGTTTTTCCTGGTCATATGACTTTTTTGAGGCATAACTTATTTTCTTTACAATGTGGCTACGGTATGGAGACTAATTTCAACCTTTGAATGGAATAGAAATATCGTTTCATGACGAAACTTCGACTGAGCATGAAAAATATTCGTAAGAATAGATTGTAAGCGTTGAATTGATTTAGTATTTTGGCAAACTTCATTCATTTAGAAACCTCATTCGTAGAAAATTCGCAGAACTTGTTTCTTCCCATGAATGCCGATTGTTTTTTGAGACAATAAATCGATACCTATCAATAGCATTGCTTTAGTGTTCGCCGTCTCTGAGGTTTATGAGCGCTATTCACAATTCAGACGAGGAGCTGTTTGGGCGAAAATTCTCGTACCAAACATTCCGGTGCAAAATGGCGTCGTGCACATCATCGACAACGTGCTCGGAATCGTCTCGAACACTATCGATCAGGTACGATTACGATAATCATACCGTACCCGTCATTTGACTGTGAAAAAAAATTCTTTTACTTTGTAACTATACGGGTTATTAAAGTATATAATCGTTTATGAACACAGCAATCTATTGGCTATTAGATAGTGACACTATCTCTCGTGTATTTTCCAAACCTTTGGAGCCGCGAGCATTTTGGCCGTGGCATCGGACCGCGTGACATTGGAGCGTAATTGAAATGCGCATTGAGAACAAGGTGTCCGGTCCGAAACGTACAGCATCGTACATATTGGAATCAACGCGCATAGACGTGAAAGGGTCAAGAAATTCAGTCCTTTGGAAGATAATTCTTGGTTTATTATTCAAAAACTATTTCGTTATATGTGTACAGATAATAAAGAAAAGCTTAAAGAAGCAAAAGATTGTCGTGTATATTTACAACTACTTGGGTTTTCTGTACAAAACATGGTGGTTTATGCATTAGAATGGTCTTTACTATTCATTTTCTCATAGCAAATTGTTATCCTAACAGTCACCAGTTTCGATTCTTCCTTCGTATTCATTCAAGCAGGGTCTCCCTTCCACTTTTATCAACCGATCTTGTACGATCGACATATCGATCGATTAATTGCAGTTATTGATGGAGAACTATCGTTGTACAACTTTGATGCGGTACATAAACACTATCGGACAAATCGTTCGAAATTACTTTTCGGCCACCGGTGGACTGGTGACTTTCTTTGCACCGTACAACGAAGCATTCGAACGGATTCCTGAGCAGATTGAGCGTCGTCTGCTCAGAGACAGAATATGGCTAGAGCAGGTTAGCGACTACGATCTCGATATGCGTGAATATTGGGACATATTGTGATTTTTGTAAAAAAAAATCGATGGTTTAAACGCAGATTTTCAGTAAAATATGCGTTAGTGAAAATTGTACGCATCCTTCTTCAAAATGTAAGTTTTAATGAAATATTTGCCTAAAGCAGTTCAGCCTATTAAGCATTAAGGTTTGGGACATATTTCGTTTCATAGCTTCTATGATACTGAGATATTTGCAAAACTCCGGACCGAAGGTGTCTACGATGGGTAACGAACGCGCTATTACCCTTTCTGGGGCTAACATACCCTGCTATTAAAAAGAGTGGGCAGTAAATAAAAATGTTAAGGCTGTGATTATTTCGTTTTACTTTGCTCTAAAAGAACCACATGATTTCGATAAAGTGCTGCAGAAAAAGTTTTCACACCAATGTGACGAACAAGCGTTCCGCTGTCCTGGTGGTTATTTACCCTAATCAGCGATTGTACAGACCAAACCACTATACCAATTTATTGGCTCGCTTGATTTTAAGTCTAAGCTATTAATTACTTACTTGAATACTTGGATGGTCCATTCTCACTCTGAGGAATGTTCCGGAGTCTAACTCTTATTTTGGATTATGCTACAACTCGGCCTTTTATAGGTGCTAAAGCTTCACATCGTACCGGCAAAGGAATTAACATCGGACGAGATTAACAATGACACGATTGTGAAT